GCTGTGTTCAGGATACACAGCACAGGAGGGCCACAACAGCACATGAGGAGAAGAGAGGATTATTTCAGAGAAAGGAAGCTGGGCTAATCGAGGAGAAATGAAACCAGAGAGTGTCCATAGGGGGCACAAGTTCAGTATTAATAAATGAGAAGCTGATATAAGAGCAAATATGAGAAATAAAACTGTGAAAGAACAGAATCCATTGCACAGAACCTGCACACCATGAAAAGTACTATAGGGTCCAGTCTGTAGAATGCCAGTGTGTCTTGATCTCTAAAGTACATACATCTTTTTACCTGATATTCAATTCATTAAAGTTAATGATTCAGAGTCCTAGTTTATCTTAAGTACTTTAGTTCACATTATATAACTTGTTATTCTATTTGCACACCTAGTAATTTTTATCTAAAGAATTCTTTACAGGAGGATCTTTGATTAATATTTGGACAGCTAAAATGGATCAATTGTTCTGTTTATAAATTTAATTATTAAACTCCCTTAGAAGTTTCACATTACATATATAAGTATAAATATTAAATTCCTTTTATAAGCATTTCAAACATCTGAGAGACAAATTTAATGATCCCACTAAACAAAACCCTCCCCATAACTCATAAATCTATTAAATAAAACTACATCCAGTTCTCTTAAATATTTCGATAACATTTGCAAATAAATTACTCTTATACTTTTTAAGAAGTGCATTTATTATAAAAATTTTAAGCATACAAAAGGCAGAGATGATAATATAATAAGTCCCCATGTTTCCCTCACCGACTTTGGTGATTATGAACACATGCTCAGTCTCGATTCATTCATACTCTCACCCTCTTTCTTCCTCTTATATTTTTCTAAATTATCAACCAGCATCATATAATTTCATCCATAATGTAATGTTTTAGTAGCTTCCATAGATATCCCTAAAAATAGACTCTGTGTATTAATATAAAATATTAAGTCAGTGCTGAAATTTCCAATTGTCTCTTAACGTCGTGTTCATGTGTGTTTTCAGTTTGAACAGAATCCAAAATCTCCATCTCTTTGTTAGCTTCTACGTTTATACTTCTCTTTAAGACATAGGTTTATCCTCCATGTCCTTTTTTCATTCCTTACAATTTATTTGTTGAGAAAGCCAAGTAGTTTGTGAATACTGTAATTACCCATAGTCTAGTTTCTGCTGATTGCCTCTCTATAATGTAGTTTAGTGTTCCTCTTTCTTCTGTATTTCTGGTAGATTGACAGTTGGATGTAGAGGTGACCTCATGAAATTTGGTTCTTTTTTATTATTGTTTTATTATTTATTTTAGTTTAATTTTTTGGCAGGACTTGTCCCTGGATTTTGGCATAATCTTTCATCAGGAGCTCATAACATACACTTGACTCTCCTTTTGGTATGTGAACAACAATTGGTGCTCAATACCTGGAGTCCTTACTCAATACCTGGAGTCAACTAGAATTTAAAAAACCTAAACCACAATTCTTAAACTGAACATTGTCTAATATAACAACTCTTAAATATGACAAATGCTCAAAATATTGATGATATATATTGTCTTAATGATTATAAAACTTACTCCACAACATTTTTTTATTGTGAGATAAGCCTACTCAGTCATTTCTGTATTTAATTCTGAATCCTCCAAGAACTAAAAAGACTCACAAAATAAAAAAGGTATCTTGTCAAAAATTGATGAATTTGGCCTTCACACGTATCTAAAAACAAAAATAAGCAAATATAAGTTTAATTATTAATTGATAAACACCACCACCTCAAGTAGAAACTCAGACACATACAGCCTTAGGGACTCTTCCTGAGCCACACCCAAAGCGGACAGGAGTTAGTTCGAGGAGGAATTAGTTCTGGCCTACAGCATAATACAGTAACTATGATCTACAGCAATCTATGTCCTATTTCAAAATATCTAAAAGAGTTAAAAGTTTCCCAGCACATAGAAATGACTAATGTTTGAGAAGATGAAAAAGCTAATTACTCTTGATTAAATCATTCACACACCACATACAAGTATAAAATTATCCTAACATACCCCCAAAATATATGCAGATGTTATGTCAGTAAAAATATGTGCTAATTTGGAAAAAGAAGTCCATCATAAGAGGTCCCATATTATATGATTTCATTTTTAGAAAATGTCCGAAATAGGCAAATCCATAGAGACAGAAAGTAGATTTCATGGTTGCCAGATGCTGGGGAAAGGGGCAGGAAGTGACTGAATAATGAGCATAGGATTTCCACTTGGGGTGATGAAACACAATTTAGGCTACAGAGTGAAATGGTTATACAATGTGGAGAAGGTACTGAATGTCACTGAATTATACACTTTAAAATGGATACAATGGTGATTTCTATGTTAGGTATGTTTTATCACAAACAATAATCAAACAAAAACTATAAAAAGAAACATTGAATAAAGTACAGAAGTGGAGATATTGAGAATAAGAGAGCTCCATAGAAGTGTTGAAATATATCCCCTTGGGAAGCAGGACAGACAGATACCAAGCCATGTAATCACGAGGTGCTCATTTCTCTTATGCCGATTTCACACTCTGCCTTTATATCCCCAAAGTTCCAAAAAAGAAAAAAATAAAACCCATGAAAAATGTTTAAATTAAAAGAAAAATTCTTGTGAAGCCACAAATACAAATCCTTTTTATGGTCAGTGATAAGGTGTTTCCAGCACACACTCTTCGAATGGGATTAGTTTTGCAAACAGCATTGGGTCCAAGTAACACTCTTTCCTAATTCTTAAAGCCGTGTGAGTATTGAGCCTGAAAGTGATGCAACCATGTTTTTGTTTGTGTTAGAATGATCACTTTAGCAAAAATTAGAGAAGAAAATGTCAGTGTGGGGAAGAGGAGGAACAATTCTGATGGCTACAAGACTCGCCAGGTGCCTGCTGCAAGAGGCCATAACCAGAATGTAATCCTGTTCTCAACATCTAGCAGGAGAGAAGCAAGAGATAGAAGAAGAAAGGGAATTATAGGAGCTATTAAATTCAGAGAACTGACAGAATTTGATGATTAATGTGAGGCTAAAGAAAAGTGAGAGATACAGGATAGCCTAAAGCTTGCTTGGAATTGTGTTTCATTCATGAAGACATAAAACTACAGCAAGAACAGGTGTAGGTTGGCATGGAAAAGGGAAACCTGTTTCTGAGTTAATATAAAATGGGCTGAAACTCTAAAAGAGGTGTGGACTAGGGATTCCAACATGGAAATTACCAACATTAAGATAAGACGTGAAGCTGTGGTAGTATATGAAACCATTCAGGGACAATTGTAGAGTGGTTGGGGGCGGGGCAGGTGGCAGGGAGAAAAAAAAGCCAGAACACAAAGGCAAAAGAATATCATCACTTAGAGAGGAAGTTAAAAGAAAACAAATCTACAAAGGAAATTGTGGGATAGTGGCCAGAGAGACAAGTGAGCCAGAAGATAGTTCTTACAGAAACAAACAAAGGACATTTGAGGCGAGCAAAATGGCCAGTCCTGTCAAGGATTACAAAACAACAATGTAAGAGTCTGGCTAAGCAGTGTACACTGGATTTGGTAAGTAAGATTTTTTAAAGTTGTTTTAGTGTGAAGAAGAGTTTTTACAGGGAATGCTTTCAATTTTTCTCCATTTAGAATGATGTTGGCCTAGAGCTTAGCATAGATAGCTTTTACGATATTGAGATATGTTCTTGTTATCCCTAGTTTTTCTAGTGTTTTGAACATGAAGCGGAGCTGTATTTTGTCAAATGCTTTTTCTGCAATTATTATAGAAGACAGATTATGGTCAATGAAGAGATGACCAGGAAGAAAGGAAGTAGAGTCAACATTTTGTAGCTTGACTTGGAAAAATAGGATTATCTTGTGGTAATGTAGAGGATTCAGAAAAGCAGAGATGTGATAGCTCTTTTTTTAATGGAAGAGAGTAATATGGAATAAGGTAGAAGATAATGACTCAGATATTTAGAGATGGGGAGCAAAGGAAGGAAAAGAATATAAATATCATTACAGTACATGGAATAAGGGGGATAGTAACTGAGAATCAGATAGGATTCAGAACAGAGCCGAAGAGAAGGACTTTGTAGGGAGAAGGTAAGGGCAGGTATAACTGCAGATGAGTTTGTGGGTTAAGGGAATAAGTTTACTCTCTTAAGAGAATTCATATCTAATTATTGATATTTTGTCAGTGAAGTAAGAAATAAGGTCATCTGATTATAGGGGAAAGGGTAGGAATAGCAGATTTGACGACAGTAGTGAAGGTTTTTAACAAGTATTGAGAAGGATGGTGCAAGAGAAGGTTAACTAGGGAAAAAAAGTAATGAGTTTATAGAATAGCACTGAGGCTAGAGTTGAGACTGGATGCCAATTATGTGTAATGTGCGGAGTCAATAAGACTGGTGATTTTTTTCAGCTGTGCTCATCAATCTGAGAAAAGGAGTAGAAAATGAGATGGGGAGGTGGCTCCATAAAACATTAGGAATTTGGGGGGTCCAGGTATTGATAAGGATATTAAGAGCAGCTGGAGTCAAGCAGAGGAAGCACGTTGAAGTCTAAACCACAACCATGGAAGTAAAGCCAAGTGGCTTCCATCTAAAGAGGAAGGAGTTGGGGATTGAAACCAATTAATCCTTTTAGGCATATACGCCAAAGAACCAATCCAAAGCCTTGAGAATCCCAGAACTGATCAGTTGGTATACTGCATATTTAATGGACAACGTGATCACTCCCCTGAAGCAATGATTAACTCTGTGTCCATTATGAGTGGACAATGCTGTACTTGAGCTTCTCAATTCCCCATTTTCTTGCCACAACTGCTACGTATAGAATAGGCTAAAGTCTCTTCTAGTGTGACTGAAGTTTTCAATCAGGGCAAGTATAAAAGAGGAGAGAATAATTCAGACAATAATTCTTGTTCTCTTCTCCATTGTAAGGTGAGCATCTACTTGTTCCATTTTCATGCTTTCTTCTTCTTCTTCTTCTTTTTTTTTTTTCAGAAACCCTGTAAATGAAGAAAATCAAGATGGTGTCATGTACTCTGATGGTAAGGGGCAGAAAAATATCTGTTACCTCAGTACAGAAATTTGAATTAATCATTCACATAGTGTCATTGATGAGTTATTACCACTATTATTCCAGGCAAGATCCCTCTCTTGATCTACTTATTTATTTCCTTATATCCCATTATTCACTCCCTTTCTGCCCCTTACCTGCCATAGACAAATATCCTAGTATACTTGATACATGTGTTTGTACAAGGGAGAGTTTCCCATCTTCTGAGGTCTTCTTTAATTTATTTCTTTGGTGTCCTGTAGTTTTCATTGTAGAGATCTTTCACCTCTTTTGTTGATTCCCAAGTATTTTATTTTATTTTATTTTATTTATTTATTTATTTATTTATTTATTTATTTTTGTGGTTATTGTAAATGGAGTAGTTTTCCTCTTTCCTCTTTCAGAGGATTTGTCACTGATATACAGAAGTGCCTCTGATTTATGGGTGTTGATTTTATATCCTGCTACTTTGCTGAATTCATTTACTAGTTCTAGAAGTTTTCTGGTGGAAGTTTTTGCCTCTTCTAGGTATAGAATCATATCATTGGCAAATAGTGCTAATTTGAGTTCTTCTTTTCCTATTCATATCCCTTTGATTTCTTTCATCTGTCTAATTGCTCTGGCCAGTGTTTCAAGAACTATGTTAAGTAGAAGTGGTGAAAGAAGGCATCCCTGGCTCATTTGAGTTTTTACAGGGAATGCTTTCAGTTTTTCTCCATTTAGCATGATGTTGGCCTGGAGCTTAGCATAGATAGCTTTTACGATGTTGAGATATGTTCTTGTTATCCCTAGTTTTTCTAGTGTTTTGAACATGAAGCAGAGCTGTATTTTGTCAAATGCTTTTTCTGCAACTATTGCGATGATCGTATGGTTCTTATCTTTGAATCAATTGATGTGATGAATTACGTTTATTGATTTCCGTATGTTGAACCAACCTTGCATCCCTGGGATGACCCCACTTGATCGTGGTGCTGCATATGGCATTTTTGTGAAGCTTTCCAATGTTTTCTCGGTCTTATATATACAAAATTACATCTCATCTAAATTTCGATATTTTCATTCATATTAATTTTCTTTATAATTTTCCTTCTTACTCTTGAGCTTGAGTGCTTCTTTTACTTATCTTTGTGGTTCCCTCTTTGAGAAGTTGCCAGTTTTTATCCTTTGACCATTTTTTCTGGAGTTTTATCTTTTTCAGTTCACCTTCAGAAGTTCCTTTTGTAGATATTGATTTCATGTCAATTTCAAACACTGGGAATATTTTTTTCCCAGTTCTGTTTGCTGTCTCTTAGTCCATGCTGTCCTTCCTGGGACATAAATTTTGATATAATCAAATTCATTAATTTTTGCTTTACATTATGTGGTTTTTAAGTTTTGTTTAAAAAGTCTTCAGTTTTCTGTGAACTTCATCAGTTGTATTTAGGTCTTTAACATCTTCACTGCCCCCACCCTTTGAGAATTCAGTAGGAATCTAGATTTGCTGCTTCATATCTAGAGCTGGTTTTCTAATTACCATACTTGAAACAATCCAACCTTTTCTCATTAATTTAAAGTGTCACCATTATACTCTGTCAACTCTAAATGTGTATATGGCTGTGTCTATGTAAATTTGTATCTGTTACTGAACTCTCTGGTCTGTTCCATTGGTTTATTTGTCTGATCTTATACCAACACTTCACTATTTGTACTAAAATGCTCTTAGTATTACCAACTTATTGCTCTTAATGTTACATTATGTCTTGGTATTGGGAATTGTGGATATTACACAAAACTCTCAAGGAGCAAAATATTTTAAGAATCTAATTAACTTGATGTATTTGATACACTAAAGAAAAACAATAGGGAACAAATGTGTCAAAAGTGTGAACTATTTGTGATTTTTTAAAAATAATGCTTTGTTCTACGTGAGCCCATAGAACCAAATGAGTCTGCCTTCTTATAAGGAATAAATGATGTTATAATTTTTTGAAAGCAAATAAAATTATTTTATAATTCAATTACAGTTATGAAAAAAGCCATAGTAAGGATCTAAGACATATTCTATTTTGTGCTTTATATCTCTGTTAATGCATGAGTTCTGTAAGATTATGAACTGTTTCAAGTATTATCAGATTATATTCAAAAATCGCATATTAAAGTGCCTCTTAATAATAATGTATTAAATTTGTTTTTTTTCAAATCCTTTAGGTACTGGAACTCTAGATGAGGTCAGATTTTATTAATTTTCTGTTTATATTGTACTGTTATCTTTAGAATATTTAATATTGTTATTTGCTTATAAACAAAATGAAAATTTTTATGAGCAGTGATTTTTTTTCTATTTATAATTTTCATTCAAAATGCTTGAGACACCAAAAAATCAATCAGTACCTGGACTCATGGTAGTGTTGTGGCGCTGAACATAAACATGTCTGTCTACACATCTCAATGATACAGCAAGATAAAAAATGAAATCCTTTTGTGCTTGATTTCCTAATCTCTCTCTCAAGATTAAGAAAAAAATAAACCAAACTTACTTATGTTTAAATTGTATAAATTTACAAATACTTGTTTAACAAAATATTTGATCAATGAAATATGTTCATGTTACCTTTTTGAAGAATTGAAATTAATCATTATCTATGTTTTTCTTGACAGGAACAAGAAAGTGAAGGAGAAACATATGAAGACATGTATGAACTATATTTTCTACCATAATAGTTTTCTTCTAAGATGAATATGTTTTGTAAGAGGGAGTGTGGGTATATACCAACACCAGGAGGACAAGTTCATTTTGTCCAAATGATTGGCATGTAATGATAATTTCCATATAAAGAACTTAAATTTCCTTATTTCTCTAAGGATTCTATAGAGGACTCTATTAACAAGTGATTGTGTAAAAGGCTATAGACCTGCAGACTACTAGAAAGACCACAGGCAGGGAATCAGACATAGGGATCTGTATTTCTTGATTTCTGTGTGTCCTTGAGCAAATGAATTAATATATGGATTATGCCTTCTTCATCTGGGCACTGGTGGCCTGTGAGAAGCAGTTAGCACAGTACCCACATGCCAAAGTTTCATCTTGCTGGAAAGATGTTAAAAATGGCTCCAAAATGGATTTCCAGGGTAAAAGTAAACATGAATATATTTTTAATCATATGTTGAGCCCAGATATCTTAATTTTCTTTACCTAGTTCTTATTCAACCAATTTTGTCCGAAGTTTCTGAATTGAGGGGTACATGTGCACCTGTGAATGCATGCTCATGAAAGACAGAGGAAGATTAATAATTTTGTTCCTCCAACATGCAGCAAAGACAGGGTCTTTCTAATCAGTTTCTTCCACTTGCTGCCACAAGTTGTAATGGGAAGCAGAGCCCCTAGAAGATAGTCCCAGCTGTATGCCTCCTACAGATTTTAAAAACAATTTTGCACATCTAGGATTTTGACCTTCATCTACACTTCAGAGAGCATTTTCTCTTTTGTGTAGAAACTTCTCTAGATAGTGAGCCCTGACTCATTGACACCTGCTGATGGGAAAACAACCTAAAATTTGTGTTCACAGAGAAACATCCAGAGAAAGAGACAAGAAACGGGAAAAGGAGGAAAAGAAGAGATTAGAACTAGAAAGAAAGGAACAGAAAGAGAAAGAAAAGAAAGAACAAGAATTAAAGAAAAAATTTAAAGTAAGAACTTGATTGCTGATGGGTGAAAGAGTAACATCCTTTTGTTAATTTCACATGGCTGGGACATCATTCTTGAAAACTAACATGGTGGGAGAATTACTTTATCACTGTTTTGAAAAAGTATCTTCATGACAGTATTTTTTGATCTCATACATTATCTTACCCATGCACTAAATAATGTAATATGATGAAATACAATAAAATCCAATTTGGGGGTTTGTAATCAGTCGGTCCTTAGGAGATCTTACGTTGATTAAGTAAATGAATATTTCATTACTAACTCAACTTGGCTTTCCCCATTATACATTTCCTATTAGCCTAATTATGCCAAAAGTATAGGATCACACACATAGATGCTCTGGTGGCATCGTATGTTATAGTGCAAAGGACATAAATGCCTCCTGGTTGAAGCAAACTATCTCAGAATGACATTTTTTTCAGCTGTTCTAGTTGCTGGTATCTGGACCTGACTTACTTCTTTTTTCCCTGAGTACAGGAGATCGAGTCCAGGGGTGTTCTGCCATTAAGTTATACCCACAGCCCACAGCTCTTTTAAAATTTTATTTTATTTTCTCTCTAAATTGCCATGCTGACCTCAAACTTACAATTCACCTGCTGCAGCCTCCTGAGTACCTGGAATTACAGGTGCACACCACCACACCTAGCTCTGACTGAGATTTTTGCCTTTATTTTAAGCCAGTGTACATGCAGACATCTGATACCTGCTGTTTCTCATCCCTGTTGGTTTATCTCAATTTCTGATCTCTGTCTTCTCTGATCTCTGATATTTATGTGACGTCTATTACAACCATCACAAAACACTACTCTCACAGGATGCCCTTTCTTGACTATACCATCTTTGTTAACATAGCCCATCTGATCTGGGTCTGGCATCTCAAGTATATTTAGGGTAATTATCTGAATTAAAAAAATTATTTTTCATAAATTCATATCAGGTTTGCTTTAAATATTTACTCCTCTGAAGCATTTAATATATGATTGGAATTAAAACAACTTGATTTGCATAGAATTCCCTAGTAGATTTATTCATTAAATTATAGATTCAACTGCATGATGCAGAAAACACAACTTAGAGTCAACAGATGTGGATTCAAAAACCACCTGTACATATGAGCTATGAGACCTTGGGCTTATTACTTCTCTAAGACTCAGATTTTTTTTTTCCTTTTAATTTTTATTCTGTGAAGCAAGAATAAATAGTACTTTTACAGAAAGTTTGTTATAGAATTAACTAAAAAGTCACAAAAGTCACTGAATCTATTATGCTCTTATTAAATTTTTGAAAAGCTGACTTACAATAAGTAAGTCTGAATGCAGTTTGAATATAAAAATGTTTTACTCAGAATGCATGGCTACCAGTGTTTATATTTTTCAAGTAAAGAAAATTAACTTCTTGAGAGAAAGAAATTATATAATTTTTTTTTTCATTTTTGCAGTACTGGGGATTTAACCAAGGCAAGCATTCTACCTCTGAGCTCTATCCTCAGAATGTTATTTTAATTTTATTTTGAGAGAGAGTCTAGATAAGATGCTGAGGCTGGCCTTGAACTTTCAATCCTCCTGCCTCAGCTTCCCAGGTAGTTAGGATTATAGGCATGTACCGCCAAACCCAGATGTATGTTACACTTTTTATGAACATATTACTCATTGTTTTCAAGGAATTATGTGAGGTCTTTTGCTTCTTTTGGAAAAATAAATTTTACATTATTCACTTATTCATTCAAAGAATATTTTTGAGTAAGAAAAATAGAGTGCCATGCTGCTATGAATTCAAAAAGTTTGTCAAGACTGACTTTAGGAGATATATTTCTTCTATAAGATATTAATAGATGCTTAGTTTTAAAAAAAAAGTTAGCTAAGTCTGAGAACTGAGCCTGTCTAATATCATGGCATTCTATAATTTAAGGTTTTATAATTTCTTAGTGGTATATAATTAATACCATGGCATTGTAAATTCAATAAAATAAGGTATAGCATCTTCCAAATTCACAATGCATATTTACATATCAAAAGAGCCAAGAAACCTATTTAAGATTAGGAAATTAGGAGTTTAGAATTCATGATCTAAATTAGATTATTCCCAGGGCTGGAGATGTAGCTCCATGGTAGAGCACTGGCTTAGCATGCCCAAGGCCCTGAGTCCAGTCAATTTCTTGGATCTACTGAACCAAATCAATTTTTTGGATTATTAATAAAGAAAGAGAGAGAAGGATGGAAGGGATAGGTAGAGGGAGGGAGGAAAAGAAAAAGAGAAACAATAATTACACAATGCAAAGAGGAAAAACACTTCACCAAAAAACCACCAGCATATCCCATAAAAAACACAAAGCTCTCAGCATGGAGTTGTATTTAAATGATATTCCATTATGAGGAGTTGCCTTTGCAAGCCTCCTGCAGTTCCTATGGACTACGGATCCCTGCCACTCTCTCCTGGCCCCCAAACACTGGTTCACCTGTTCTTTGCTGGTCCTGTGAGGCCTCTGTGAGTTTTCCCTAATGCCCCTATCAGAACATTCACCAGGAATGACATTTACCCTTTATTTCTATTAAAGTGTTGATAGAGGCAGGTTAGCAAGTTGTGGGCTTATCTATCTTTCCAAACTGCATTCTTTAAGTTTTTCTGATAGCAAGGAAACCTGTTTTTTGTTTGTTTGTTTGTTTCTCTCTCATTGTAGCTAACGGGCCCTATTCAAGTCATTCATCTAGCAAAAGCTTGCTGTGATGTCAAAGGAGGAAAGAATGAACTGAGTTTCAAGCAAGGAGAAGAGATTGAAATAATCCGTATCACAGACAACCCTGAAGGAAAATGGTTGGGCCGAACAGCAAGGGGGTCATGTGAGTGTACATTTCCCTGTGGCTTTGAAGGGTTTTTTGTTTTTGTTTTTATTTTTTCATCAGTCAATATTAAATGCTCATATTCTTCCAGAACTATTACCATCAAGTTTAGGAGTTACTGGGTTGACAAAGGTGGGAAAATCTAAAATGGCAAGAATGGACCCATTTTCACATCATTTATATTCTTGGTGGGAACCAATGTAAAGTTGTATATTATTCTAGGGAGGTCAGAGGTCATTAGTTTCTTCATTCATGTGACAATTGGGGGAAATGTTTCATGTGACTCATTTTTGAATCTTTAAAATACACCCTAGACTTACCCCCAAAGACAACAGGATAAACCTTTGACAGAATACAGTAAAATGTGTCCACCTGGGAAGTGTATAATTCAGAATTGAAAGCAGGTAAATAAAGGGAAATTTTAAAGAACAAATGTGCAACAGATATTTTATTCACAATTTTAAAATATTTTTACGTGGCAGTTGCCTAAACCTAAGTCTTTTCCTTTTTGGTAGATGGCTATATTAAAACAACTGCTGTAGAAATTGACTATGATTCCTTGAGACGGAAGAAATCCTCTCTCAGTGCTCTATCATCAAAGCCTGTTGAAGACGACCAAGAAGTATATGATGACGTTGCAGAGCAGGATACTAGCACCAGGTATGTGCCAGCACACACTGTAAGACAGACCAGATTGTCTCCTTGTTGGAGATTATGTTTCAAAACCCTAGAATCTTACCTTCTGTATTTACTAATGTTCTCTATCACTAAATCGCCACTTGTACCAACCCAATGTCCATGTAAGTTCACTGGAAACTAAATAGTCTTCTGTTCTACTTTTTGGTTTTATGTATCAAATGCTACTTAAAATATAGTGGGCCACTTGCCAGAGCATGTCAAATGTGTTGTCATTGCAAAACATTGTTTTGTAGTATTCGTTAGTGTCTTATCTTAGTTATGTTCCTAAAGCAAATAGGATTTGGTAAAACATAAAGAAAAAAAAAATTTAGCCCTTTTTTAACTTTTAAATTTAA